ATGTGTAAGAGGCAACATCTTGGAATGATCTTCATTTGTGGAGAATTTAATTGTTCTTAAACCACAGATCTTAAGGGTACACCTCTGTGAAGGTACTCTCAAGAATCAAGAAGCCTGACTCTTTAGATTTCAGAACTTAGGTGAGACACTTGTGGACACGGAGGTGAAAGAAAGGGCTACAGCTAAGGAGGTAGTTCAAGTGGACCAGATGTGGGTGAGCATTTGCCAGTTTTTTAGATGAAGCCAGACATTTGTGGAAAAGGCCTAGGTCCTGTGGCACCAGTCTGAGTGACACCATCCCTCACTGTAGAAGGCCTGCCTACATGTGACTGTGCTGGTCCTCAATGCTGAAAAAGATATAGTGGACACCTGGGATGACTCCTTAGGACAGCAGGAAGCTCATGACCAGGCCAAGGCCCTAGTCTTGCATTCAGAGAAGACCACCTCAAAGATTATTACATCATTGATGGATAGTGGAGAACTGTCAGGCTTGGGGGCATCAAATAGCCCACTTGGCTCAGAGGCCCTCTTAATGAAAAGATTGCATGAACATACCTGCTTGGAGCTGGTTTCACAGTCCCTAAATTCTGAAACATTGCTACTTTTTTTTGTATAATTTTCTTAATAGTTGACTCAGATTGACTACTCAATTTTTTTCTCCAGAAACATCTTTTTTTTTTTGTTTTGCCTCAGCCTCCCAACTAGCTTGGGACTACAGGTATGCGCCATCATGCCCGGCTAATTTTTATATATATATATATTTTTAGTTGTCCAGCTAATTTCTATTTTTTTAGTAGACGGGAGGGGGGTGTATGGTCTCACTCTTGCTCAGGCTGGTCTCAAACTCCTGGCCTCAAGTGATCCTCCCACCTTGGCCTCCAGAGTGCTGGGATTACAGGTGTGAGCCATCGCACCTGGCAGTAATGCTTTTTAGAGAGTTGAAAAGCACCTCAGAACATTGCTTTATCTCTAATTTTTTTGTCCAAAAACAATAAAAGGAGAGAGAGCAAAATGTCAGTATCTGCTAAAATTGTTATATTACTATCTATAATTT